TTTATGAGCTATAATTTAAAGCAATGAAATCTTAAGTACAGGCCTTGAAAGTAAAATGCAATAGTTTGAGGCTATTATTGCTTTTTAAAAGTTTTTAAAATTGTGAAATGCTCAAAGCTCGAGTTTTGATAGTGAATGGCATGCTTAAGCATCTCTGTTTGAATTGCAGTGCGTTCCTGAAGACTCTTCAATTGATTGAATTTTTATTTTTTCGTTAAGTAGTAACTCGAGTGCCATAAATGCCACGACCAGAAATGAAACCGAGGTCTTATCGGACATAATTATTTTTATCTGTCACCCATTTGTCAAAAACTAATCAAAATGACAAAAAATGTTTTTCTAACAAAACATTCTGGTTTCATACTTCATATCGGTTACAATTTTTCTTTACGATTGTTTTTTTTTTATTTAATGATGAAATGGTGGACATTTTAAGCCGTTGAACAAATGTTTTCCCTGGCGCATATAGATTAACAATTGCGTCGCGACTTATTAATTTCATAAAAGAGTATTCCTTGATTTGGTATATCTATTTGAATACTCTCCCCTAAAATGTTATATGTTATGAAGTTATGTTTCATGTATCTGTTTGATGGAACATAATATTTTGTATTCACTCATCGAGACCCCTCGATACATGATTTTGACTAAAAATGAGGGCACCCTCAATAATCAAGAAAGTTGAAATTCGGGTAAATATGATAACGGGTATATCTTGGGTACAACAAAGGGTTCAACCTTAGAGGGTTGGGCGGAGGGAAAAGAAAAATCAACACTTTGTATGTATTCATTATTTTGCCGGTTTCAAATCGACTCTAGCTCAATTTTGAAAAATCAAGGAAATTAATTAACTTGTAAAAATTTTATTGCTTGGCAATATGGAATAAATGTGAAAATTAAAAAGAAAAGAAAAATCTGATTATAATTTAATATTATAACTACATCCTTTCAAAAACCCAATGATATCGTTGGGTTGATATGACTTAATCATAGTGATCAAGTTTTTGTCGAGTTTTTGGTAATTCGCTTTTTTGGGTCTGGCTACTTTTTGTCCTGCGCACATTTTTTCCAACAGTATTTCCGCATTTTTTACTCGTCCTGGAACTTCTCGATCAGTTTGGGGAATTATGGATGCTTACCATTGACCAGTTTCACGAAATTGCTGTTCCAACTTTCTACAGCGTTGTTGGTGCGGGGAAGGTCGTTTCTTACTCTTTGATGGCAACTCCATTGCTCCATATCAAATCTGGGCTTCTGTCGTCCTTGAGAAGTCAGTCTACCAATATATGTGTCCTCGAAATAATTGAAAATTGGTTGACTTTCTTCAGATGCCATACCTTGCAGAAGCTCGAAAGCTGTAGGGACGTCTTCTACGGGCAGAAATGCTGTTGCGAGAAGCATTCGAATAAGTTCGCGAAAATTAAGGTCACTGTTGTAATTGTGAGTATTGCCTGACGACTGAACATGTCGCCAGACACTTTGACTCATATGGAAAAAACAAAACTGAATTTGAGCACTCTGATGGGTAGCTATTATTGAGTTTCGCACAGCTACTTCAAAATCAATTGTAACGCGTTTTGGGGAATCAACTTTTAGAATACTGAGAAGGCGACAATAAGTTGATTCCTTTTTGTCAGGTAGCAGAGCGTAAACAATAGGAATAAGGCATCCTTCAATAGAAGCGTGTATAGTATAAATCTGATAGAAAACATTGGGAGCAGTCGAAAACGTTCCATCACAGAACCAATCATCCGATGAAGATAGTAAGTCTAATCCAGGTAACGTGGCGAACACAATAACCCGATTTTCATATTGGGGACCAGAATCGTGAAAAAGGAACTGCTCTCCATCGTGGGTTTTCTGTAGAGCCAGTGGTAGTTCAAAGCCAGTCAGCGATGTTGGCTCTGCCATCTTTGGTCTTTTTTCGCGTCGAACTCTATTTACAGCTTGCTGATTAGCAGAATAACTAGGTAAATGAACAGCTGTTTCTCAGTTCACATCACGTTGGGCTGCGAAAATAGTCTGTCGCGGTGTTACATCGGATACTGCTGCTCGATCTTTAAGTGTTTTTCTGATCTTACGTTTTTCGATGTCAGCTGGATCGGGGAAGTGGCAGTGATTTTTAACGATCTCAATGGAGTCGTCCTTTGTACGCACACGGCCATTTCAACTACTTTGTCCGCAGCGCCAGGAAAGGGAGTTGTCTGCCAGTGTTCTGTGTTTAATATAAGCATACCCTTCAAAAATCAGTAACTCAGAATTTTTGTTTGTAAGTATGATTTCCATCGATAGATAGAGAATTTTGTTTCTATTGAGTGTTGTCAAGTGTTTGCAAATGAAACAGATTGAACAACCTGTCTCTTTTTGCTTGGATTAAAAAAGGCTCCATTTTCTTAAATTGCGTTTACTTTTATGTTTCGAATATTATTGCTTTTATTGAGTGGGTGCTGCTGTTATCTAGGTTGTTCTAATTTCTCTACTATACTACCTATTGTTATCCGGATTTCTTGGAATCAAAATGTGTTTAATATGAGATAAATTTACTTATCAGCTTCTAGAACAATTATCACTTCGATCAATGGGACTGTTTTTGGACTATTTTTCGGACTATTTTCGGGACTGTTTTGTATGGGACTGTTTTTTTGTACTTTGCTATGTTTTTTTCGGACTGTTTTGTATTGGACTGTTTTGTACAGACACGACTTGAAACAGTGAACCTAATTTTATTTTTTCACTCAAGATTCAATCAACAGCCCTTAGACGCCGTGAGCTCCCTTTTGGCGCCCAGGTAATTCGGCTGAATGTGCCCTAAAATCGAGAGTTTAATCCAATTCCGATTTTTTTTTCGATTCTAGACAGTTGGAAAACTGGCCGAATTGTCTGTATATTTGGCCGAATTGTCTGAGTTTCAAATTGGCTGATTGTCTTTGGCGCCGAAATGTCTGTGCGCCGCCGATGGTATCTTAAATTAAGCTACTTGTATTGGGATCTAATTCTTAATTTTCGGTCCGCTCTTTTGATCTTGAATTAATTTGAGCGTCAACTGAAACTCCCAAACGTTTAAAGTTGCTCCTCCTATAAATTGTTTTTTTTCGATCAAACTAAAAGTTAAGAGTTCTTCTAATTATTTTCTTTTTTTTTCAGTTGGTCTACTTTTATGTTTTAATTGTTTACTCAAAAGTCAGCTTCGATTTGATGTAATATTTTCTAAATTTCTCATTATTCTGCTTCGCTGGACAGCGTGTGTACATTGGTACCATTTTAATGAAGAATAAATCATGCCAAGTACTGTAATAGTAGTTTTTGTGCTCGTCAATGCGAGCATATAGTTAAGTATTACATCTCTTACTGCATCATGTTGCCGTGAAAAACATAAGATTGGTGCTGCTTTTTTTCTGCTCTTGTCAAACGTGTTTTGGAAACGTAGCTTTTATGGTTGAAAAATACGATTAAAAATTCATGATTTTGCGAATACGTTGGTATTTTTTCTGGCAGTCATCAAATATTACCGCATGTGATGTTATGTAGAATTATAAAAAGCAGCATTTTTACAGGACTAAGGAATGCGTATTTGTGGGTATATTTTTTTGTGAATCAATAGCAAAAGCAAACAAACAAACAAATATCTTTTATCTCTCCTTCCCCTTTCTCTGCTTCCTGGCAAACGTGTGGCATAATCACTCTCCGTTTTGGAAATTTCTCGCTTTTCACAACACAAATCTCACATTTGGTGTAATTGTGACGCACTTTCTAAACAAAAGGCCAGGAAATGAATATCTATTGAAGAATCTATTTTCATGTGCTTTTGGCTCGGTTCAGTTTGAAGTCGTCTATATATTTAAGATGCTTTTAGAGGAAAAAAGCTCCTCTGAAGTTTTTCCTGTTTTTTTTCGATTTTTTCCAGTTCTAGTTTGATTTTGTAGCTTGTTAGCTTTATCGGTTCAAAGTTGCTGAAATATTAGAGATCTAAACTTCGACTTAGTTAAAACTTTTGAAATACATTTGAACATTTTAAGAATAACTGGGTTCTTTGTAAAAGAAAAACACTTCTTTTGTCAAAAATATTGGGTTGTCGCGATTCGTTGTATCAGATCCCTGATTGCTTGTTATATTCCACTACGCGCTATGAAAAAATTGCAAATGTAATGCGCTTTAATTATCCCAAAGTGGCAAACCCCCATAAATTCATGAAAAAGGAGAGGTGGTGAAATATATATTTTTCAAATTTGAGTTTTGTTCATTGATATCTTTTCAGATTTTTTTGTATTTAAGTTTTTCCGTCGAAAAAGCGTAATTAAATGGCCGCAATTAATGTAAATAAATGTTCTGTAATTTCTTTGAAAGTGTGAACAATAAGTGAGTAGTGTTGAACTGTCTAGTGCTTCCGCCTCTCGATCGGTAGGTTGATTGTTCGAGCCCCACTATGGTCCGTGCGTGTTGGTCGACGACGAGTGTATGTTTCCCATTCCACAAAGACAGCAAATTTATATATATTTTCATTTAAGGCTCAAAATAGGGTCTTTTCAAATGCTGAAAAAGTCATATGTTAGTGTTTTTCTTCATCGATGGCCTTAATCTAATCAAATGTCTGTTAAAAAGGTTGAGTTAACATAAAGCTATGAGATATTTCGAAGTCGTCTGAATTTGTAAGCAACGTAGGACACTAACATTGTAGGCACAAGCAAATATCCCATTAACCAATTGTAATTGTTACTTGAAACTAGTTAGTTGTGATTTGTGGAAAAAATGTCTCCTCGCCTCCAACTGAAATAAATGTTTTTTTTTTGCAATAAGTGACTTTAAAATATTCTTTTCAAATACTTTATATTTTGAAATTCAGATATTTGCTTATTATATCATAACATATTACAATTGGACTGTAAACATGAATATATTTCATTGAAAAAATCTCAAGGCAGGAGCGTGGTGGGACCAGCGAAAGTTCGACTAGTTGAGTCAAAAAATTTTAAAAATCGTTGAATAATTTGATCTGCTTTCAGAACTTCGGCTACCAAACGCAGAGTCTGCCCCGCTTGAACCCAAACATGAGTTCGATGATGAACAACCAGTCGCCTGCGCCCCACGAAGACAAGGGTAGCAAACGAAACAACAACAACAATAACAACAGCAACAACAACCACAACCTCAAATACAACGACCACCTGCCCCAACTGTAGTTACAACATCAACCCCCCCCCCCCCCCACCGTCACTCTGTCCATCTTCCCACGCTTCCCATTCCCCTATAGGTGTCTTCAAACTCTACACAAATAGAAAGTTGGACTTAACCGAGACCGAATTACGAGCACTGTGTTTGAAAAAACTTCTAGCTGGGATGCTAACCACTAGAATTCGTTATTGTAATATGAGCAGTAACTTCGTTTCAGTTTTTCTTTTCTATTTCTATCGAAGCTTTCGAAACCTATTGATGCTTAATTATTGTATCCCTCATTCTCATTTCTCGTCGCCTGCTAGGATGAAGGAATCTTTTGCAAACACCCCTCTCCTCTCCGACCAACGTGAAAAATTTCCCCTTTATTAACTAAGTGAACGATATCACGCTAATTTTAAATGACAACTTTTAGCAGTAAGTCATTGTGCAAAATAATGGATTCTGATCGGCTGAAAAAAAATGCTTTTAACCAATAGATTTGTCTCCTCCCTAAATTGAATGAGGGGGTTGAGAAAAGTAAAATTATAATTCAATTTTTTTTCTTCAAAAAATTCGTTCATGCGGCAACTTGCATGAAAGAAAACTTTATAAAATTCTTTTCATTTGTTCACGCTTACTCGTTATATTGCAGTTTTGAGGTTCTAAACTGATTTTACATATCAAACTAATTTTCAAACGAACTTCAGAAAAAAAACCAAAGGGGGAATTGAAAAGAGCCAGAAAGAATAGCTGACTTGATAGGTATGCGAATGTCTTAATAATGATAAATGCTTGCAAAACGCCAAGAAAATTCTTTCAAAAAACAGCCCGGTCGAATCCCGTCAAAAAATTTTCGGCTTAAATGTCATGGAATGTTAGTAATATCAAATATTTATCCAATTATAAAATATATCTGATCCAATTTACTTGCACAATCATGGGTTTGGCATCAAGTAAAATTGGTCGAGTATTTATTGTAATTGTCAAAAAAAGTCATTTTTCAAATCAATTGAAAATGGATTCACCGGACGTGTTATGAGAAATGAATACTGCAAATACCCTGAAAACCGTTTAGTGCCATCTCATACACTTGACGTGAGATTTCTCGATTCAATTATTTCACTTCACGTGTGGTTTATGATTTGTAAATTTCTATCGTTTTTGTCTCTCTGTTTTGACTAATAATAATTTTAAAATTTCAAAAAGATGTCCTATCTTAAGGTTGTTTTCTGTTTTACGGCCAAAAATTACCAAATTTTAATTGAGCTTCTATTTTGAAAAAAATCAATATTTAATTTTGCTGGATTAGTTTTAACCAATCAGTATAGACATGGGCAGATTTAACGGGTGACGGGGGGGGGTGGCTTTACGGACGCCCCTCATCAGGGATTCGACCCCCTGCCAAACAATCCAAAGGGTCCGCCTTTGTATTATTTTGAGATATCCACCTTTGGCACCAATATATACTTGCTTTGAGGGGGAAGCGCGCGCCGAAAAAAAACGAGATTTTTTGGTCAAATTTTTCCAAAAAGTGCCTAAAACGCCTTTTTTGGCCTGTTTTTTCAAAATTTTGCCTGCGGCACAGAAATTTTTATAAAAGTTTGGCCAAAACAAGGTCTTTTTAGTGCTTTGGGAGATCTCGGAAAATCAAGTTGGTCGACCTAAAAAAATCCTAGATCCGCCCCTGAATATAGAGCAATATGAACCAATTTTCAAATGAAAATAAATTTCAGTTTTGAGCCGTAAAACAGAAAAGACCTCATTTTAATCAGGGTTGTCCAAAAGAGTTGTGCAGGGATATTTTATGAATAGTTTTGTGTGTGTGTGTGTAATCGCGCCCTTTCTTAACTTTCATTTTTTTGCTATTTCGTCAGTTTAAACAGGTGATGTAAGTTAAGAAAGAGTTACAGTTTGAGTTCTATAATGTGATCAAACATGGTTTTCATGTCTATTTTTGCGCTAATTGCAGTAGATAAATTTAGAAGTTTAGTTTGTTAATTTCTTAATGATTACGTTAGCATATGCATACACGGAGATACATATCAATTATAACATACATATTACGCAATAAGTCAACTAAAGGTCAAGTTATGTTGCTTGGGATTCGTAATTTTAGTACTCTATATCAGTAGCGGATTTAAGGGGGGAAGGCTCTTCAGGGATTCGACCCCTGCCGACCCAAAGGGTACCCCTTTGTACTATTTTGAGATATCCATTTTTGGCTGACTGATCCTAAAATTATCCTAAAAGCGCTTTCGGCGCCAACATATAATAATTTGAGGGGAAGCGTACGCCGAAAAAACCGCAATTTTTCAGTCAAATTTTTTTAAAAAGTGCCCAAAACGGCTTTTTTTACTCGTTTTTCCAAAAATTTGCCTGCGATCTGCTAGTGTTCTGAGAGCGCTCGGAAACTCATTTTGATCGACCTAAAAAAATCGACAAAGTTTTGAAAATCCGCCCCCCCTTCGAGAAAATCCTAAATCCGCCCCTGATTTTTATAGAACATTTTTTTCCGAAGCAACTGAATTAGAATGAATCTGAATTAGAAATTGTCTATAGTATATTTAAGTCAAGCTGTACAACTGATCTTGAATTGGTTTTTATTAATCGATTGAAGGTTTAACAAAGACGCTCCTGGCAAACAATACAGTCTTATTCTAATCTCTTATTTGAAAGGATAAACCAGAATTCCGGTCAAAATAAAAGGCAGCGTGATCTATGGTGAATTAAATCAAGGAGCTCAATCAAAAGTGTCTTCAATCGGGGAGAGGTCTCGTCCAATTTGCATGAGAACAGGTGTCAAATGATTGACAGGCGTCACTTGACTATTCAGTGAACATTGATCAATCGTAAAACTATCATTATAGCTTCAATAACAAGAAAGTTGAGCTTGAAAATATAAGCTTTCAAAATGCTGTTGAATGAAATGAATTTTTACTTCAGCGCTTTTAGTTTTCTGTTCATTTTTTCCACGCAAAATCGGGTATACCACACTTAATCAGAGGGATGAGTTGGGTGATAAATGATAATAATCTTTTCAGTTTTCACTCAAACAACATGGAACAATTACCACAAAATTTTCTCAGAGTCGAGAAAAACCGGTTTGAATAGTTGATTTTCAGGGGACCGTAATTTTAGCATAAAGATAAAATAGCATAAAAAATTGAAATATTCGAAAAGAAATTCAATTACTTATTAGCCAATCAGATTTCTCAATACTAATACTAGGCAAAATGTTCCGGCTAGCTATCTCATTGTTATGAACAGGCGCCGACCTAGGAATTTCTCGAGGGGGGATTTTGAAAAAGTTTTGAAAATAATTTTGTCGACCTTTTTTTTTAGGTCGACCAAATTGATTATCTGAGCTCTCGCAAACCACTATGAAGACCCTAACTTGACCCAATTTTCTGCACCGCAAGCAAATTTTTGAAAAAAGGCGTTCTTTGGCACTTTTAGGAGGGAAGAGTACGCCCCCCCCCCCCCCCCCCCCCTAAATCCGCTACTGGTTATGAAAAAGAAATCTGGTTCCAGACTTGTTAACGGGCCGCCATAATTGAGGCCCGGCCCAATATAATTCAAGTCGAGCTTGTTGGCGGCCCGATAAACAGGGAATTTATTAAATCTCGGCCCGTTGGGGCCCGTTGCTGCTTTTTTGGTAAAAAACAAATTTGTTTCAAAACAATTTTAATTAATTGTTTTACTTATTTATAAAGACCTTTTTTAAAAGCCATGGTTGTAGGCGAAAGTTTTGCCCGTCTTTCGGATATCGTCAAACCGCAATCAGAGTAAAGCCTCTCCGACTGCCCGGAATTGGCCTGCGTTCCAAGCACCTTTCGCGCAACTCTGGACAACAGTGGAAGCTTGTCAGAGTTCTTTCTCCAAAATTGAAGAACACCACAATCTGCAACTGCAATTGAGAGAGACTTGTATACTTCTATCTCTTCTGAACCGCAAAAGCGCAAAGCCCGCTCGTCATATGCTATCTCGCCCACAGGAATTGACTGATTTTCAGCAAAATTTTCGCGCATATCAGAAAAGAAATCTTGTTGTTGAGTTGGAATTGTTGGCTCTGCTCGGCGTCGGGTAACAGATGGTTCTTCGTCTGCGTTTGGCTTTAACTGACATATTTGTTCTAGTACCCATTTGTCAACATCGTTTATGGTTCTTTCCTTAAATTCCAAGTCACTTGTTGAAATTTTTGGCATGAATGAAAACGACCGGAATGAAGGGTCGAGGAAAGTACCAAGCCAATGGATTGCTTTAATGGACCCGTAAAACTTGTTGTTCAAACCATCCATAATGCATTGTTTCAGAACAAGTATTGGTTGTTCGTCACCAGGAATACGCTTTAGCAGACTATGTAAGTTGTAATAACACGGAATCACCAGGTTTATTGTTGGCGAATTGGATGCCACCAATTTCTTGAATACAAGTCTGAAAGTTTTGTACAGAATGCTCACAGAGCGGTTAAGGTCCAGGTTAATAGCGGAAAGTAAATATAGTCTGTTGCGACCTGCCAATACTATTGCGGGTTCATCCTTGCTTTTCTCAATACTTGTAGCCCGTTGTTCAGTTGCTGTCCAGCCGCGAGTCGCACAACCTGACTTAATCGTAATTGGCAGTTGCTCCTGCAATCCCACCGAAGTCCTACAGTAAGCTACTAGCTCAAATGCAGACGTGCTGTACTCTTTTAATTCTGGCGACTTGAGATTTGCTTCCTTCCAGCCATCACAGAGGACAGTGTTCAAGCGATGGCACATGCAGTAAAATCGTCCCAGAGTCTTCTTCCACAAATGCAAAGATTTCGTGCTTCGTGTCACGTCGAATTTGTTTCTGCAGTGAATCGGCAGTGAACGTAGTAGTCATGTCGTTTAGCACACTGCAAGCTGTACAGTGCGCACTGAAACATAACATTGGTTAGTCAATAAAAGTAAGGCCCGTTGGGGCCCGTTGACGAAAGTGAAAACTTCGGCCCGGCCCGTTGACAAGTATGTCTGGCTCTAATTGAGCATAATTAAAGAAGTTGATTTGGTTTTTATTCAGCTTTTTTTTGTAGTAGAAAGTAGTAAGGCAATTAAATAGTCATGCATCAGCCATTAAATGGCCATAGCAAAAAAAATTTCGGACATTTTCTTCCAGAATAGTTTTAAAAAGACCGCGATAACGCCTAAATAAAGCTAGCAAAAATTTATGCTGATTTAGCTTTATGCTAATTTAAACAGCTCCAATTTCCTGTCACACTTTGAGCAAAGAAACCTTTCAGCTTTATTTAAGCATGGAAAATTTAGCTATATATGTGTGAAGTTTGTAGTTTTTTCTATGTTTTCTAGCGCTTTCTTGAATGAATTTTAAAAAACTTAAGCACTTTTCTGCTTGAATTTTGTTTCTCATAAGACTTCTGAATATATGTTAACGCTCTTTCTTCTTTTTGGAGGTTTGCTGTAATGATTATTTTGAAATTCATTATTGAAAAATGTTAAACAAAAGGAGGGCAAATTACTTTTTCCACAAATGAAAAAGAAAATGAGG